GGCTGTTTAATAAATGATGAAAGTATTTTAAAATATGCTTTTGAGGAAATAAATTTTTTAAACAATATAAAAATGTGTTTAAATTGATGAAAGAGTAAAGTGGGTGTGTAAAACTTGTAATGAAATTCTCTAAAGGATCATTTTTAAAAATTTTGCGCTTTAAAAATTCACAGATCATGTAGCTGAAGGTGATAATGTTGCTAATGAGTAGTGTTCTGAGTTCTATTTTTGAAGCCAAAGCAAAAATTATTATTAAATATTTTTGCCTTTAATTAAATTAATTTATATAGCCTTTTAAAATGGACTACTTTGAGGTCTTCTGAGTGCACATGAATGAGCAAAATGAAGGTTCAGCAAAGATTAGCACAGCATGTTCATGACTCAATCCCTCAGCTGATTTATCATATAGCTGAACATAGCTGGTCAACACGTGGTTGTGAGCATCTTTTTTTTCTTTTTAGCTGTAAATTGTTTAATTTCTACCTCTAACGGACCACTGAAATACTCAGAGGAAGCAGAAAGTAGACTGAATTTCAATTACAAATGAGGAGCATCAAAATAAATCCGTAAATTCACCTCAAGATTCTCTTCACCAGATCTCTATGTTGTGTTCATTTTATCAGACTACTCATATTACTTGTTTAGTAGCTGTTACTTAAAAAACAAAGTTAGAGAGAGAAAACACTGGAATAGTAATAATATTAAATTTAGTTTTACATACATTGGAGTAAGCACCAAAAACACTCATAATGTGCTATTCATGGAAATATTCTAGCAAATGCAGGCTAAAAAACCACCATTATTTCATTTTAAAAGTAAAATGTTAAGAATTCCAAATATCATCTCACAAGCAGTTATTTAATGCCATAATACATTACTAAATTTTAATCTATTAATACTTCCTTATATATATTTCAAACAGCATATGATGTTACATATGAATACGAAAGACTGTACTTAAAATAAAACTTATAAAACAATCAATGCAAATTAACTTATCTTACACCAATGCAAGAAGGATACTTAAAACTCTGCCTAGAGAATATGTATTACTATTAAAGGGAATTAAGAGTCAAGAAAGGTTAGGAAACGTTGCTATAACATTGCTGAGGTTTTTGATCATTTTAAACCCAGAAAAGTTTCAATTAATGATGGAGGAAGTAAGTCACTGATTTTTATACTGCCAAGTGAAATGCAGCAAGCTAGAATAACTGGTTAGTTTTATTAAGGTATCTTATTAAGATGGCTTATTAAGCTACTCACTATTGTTTTCATAGGGCTTTAGGCTGATACTAAACTTTAAAATGTAGGATTCTTTTCTTCCTAACTTTCATAAAAGTCATATATAATTAGCACTGAATGAAATTTTCTAATGTCAACATTTCAAATTTTGATTAACAGGGAATACAAATCAACCTTATTCAAGTTTAATTCAAAAGACTGGCAACATCCTTTGGGAGACTAGTAGAGATAATATATCAAGGAACCTTCAAACTTTAGACTAAGCCAGGGGCCTACAAAGTAAAAGTAATATTCAACTTATTAAGCTGGAATCATCACAGTAATTTTCTCTATCTGATTTATCTTTGATTCATAAATACCATATATTCTCAAATTGAAATCAACATTTAGGGTCTAGAATACAATCATGATCCTACTGTAGATAGATACAATAACCCAGCTACTCAGATGATTGAAATAAAGACAAAGCAACAATTGACAAAACTGGTGCAGGTAATGACTGTAAAGTAAGAAACAGAAATTCAGACAGTGGTAGATTTTCTGGACAGTATATAATTAAAAACCTGGTCAATTTCCATAGGGTGGGAAGAACCACAGTTGTTCAGCTCCATTATATGACTAATATTTCTGAACATGAAACACCATTCAGTATAAATCATACACACTAGGATAACTCAGTAAGTTGTTCTTACTTTTTTTTTTTTTTTTGCGGTACGCGGGCCTCTCACTGTTGTGGCCTCTCCCGTTGCGGAGCACAGGCTCTGGATGCGCAGGCTCAGCGGCCATGGCTCACGGGCCCAGCCGCTCCGCCGCATGTGGGATCCTCCTGGACCGGGGCACGAACCCGTGTCCCCTGCATCGGCAGGTGTACTCTCAACCACTGCGCCACCAGGGAAGTCCTGTTCTTACTTTTGAATGAGGGTAAACTAGAAGTGCCCTCTTTTTCATAATCTATAGAGTATTTAGCACTACATCTAGGGTAGGTGAATGGGGCACTCAATTCAGATGAACAATTTAAAGAGGTGTAAAAAGTCTCATTATCAGGATAAATATTTAAATGCAATATTCAAAAAAAATCAAAATTAACACAAAAACACCATGATAAACAAAATATCAAAATTTAAATAAAGGATCAGTACCCTAGTCTAATATTGATAAAATCTCTAAGGCAAAACTTCTTTACATTATAGTGAGTTTCTTTAGAAGATGAATTTTGATAAAAGGTTGAATGATTTAGGTCTATCTTCTATCATTTACATAAGCACAGAATATTTGAGTAAGAAAAATTTCTAAAGTAAATTTTAATAATAAATCCCTAAATATTGTTTGAAGGCACCTGACATCTTAAATCCCCATGTCTAAGCCCTCTCTGATTTTTAAGCTCTGAACTCTCTGGTATATGCTAAGCAAGTTTCCCCAAACTAGACTGACTGACTTTAGTGCCAAAGTAGCTTCTTTTAACTCATTACATGGCTGATGAATGGTCTTTGCTTGAATTAATTACAGTGGGGGTTACAAGGTGGTGATTTTCTAATTCTATTATTCTATCTGTACTTGTTAACTGTTGTTCTCCTTTACAAAAGAGATTCCTCCTTTCCATCTTCCATCTTTTTTTTTTTAAAGTATCTTTATAAACCCTAGATGTAACAATTAAGGATTCTATAGTCAAATACAGTTCTTCTTTTGAAGCATACATTATCCCAAATTTGGTCTATGGGACCTTTGTCAAGCTGCTCCTGTGCCCTTTCTACATGACTCTATTAGTTTCTGAGTACTTTCTTCCTTTCTGGCACAAAATGATAATCCAGACTCACCGTAGTTTCCATGCTCCAAACCTAGGAGCTTTGGTACCCTTTAATAGGAAATGTATTCAGAAACTAAAATCTGGGTGTTAGGTGTATCCCTTCCTTCTAAGCCTTTTTCAATGAATAGAGCTAAGGAAAAATATACATTTTTAAAAGCATGAATTCATATTGATAGTTTCAATTCAAATTGAATATTACAGTTGCTTTTTTCTAATGTCATCTATTTTACAGTGAAAATCTTGGCTCCTAATAATATTTATTTACATATTTCCTCAATCCAACAATATATAGAAAATAGTTTCAAAATTTTAATAATCAGTAGTACAACTAAGTATGAATATACTGAGCAAAGTTTAAGATTACTTTGCATTTCTTTTTGTCCTTAGAATATACGCCACTAATGATGTATATTCAGTCTGATAGTCAAAAGATATTTGAGTTAATTATTTTCTCTCTATAAGAATCTAACCAATCTGATATAGTTAGGTACATTGATTTCTATTTGTATTCACTTTCAGGGTTTGCTTTTTATCTTTTTCATTTGATTTTTTTTTTTTTTCGGTACGCGGGCATCTCACTGTTGTGGCCTCTCCCGTTGTGGAGCACAGTCTCCGGACGCGCAGGCTCAGCGGCCATGGCTCACGGGCCCAGCCGCTTCGCGGCATGTGGGATCCTCCCAGACCGGGGCACGAACCCGCGTCCCCTGCATCGACAGGCGGACTCTCAACCACTGCGCCACCAGGGAAGCCCCTTTCATTTGATTTTAATTTCTGAATATTTAAAATACATACATGGTTCAAAAGTCAAAACTATACAAAAAGGCAGAGTTAGAAAAGTTGCATTTCCATCCTATGCCTGGATCTCTTTCCCATCTATCTCCAAAGGTAACTATTTTCATTAGTTTCTGGTTTATCCTTCCTGTTCCTTTTATTCTTATTTCTCACATAAAAGATAGCATATTATAAATAGTTGATTATTTTCAGTTAGCGATATGTCAATCAATATTAGTTTACAGACATCTTCCTTACTTTTTTCTTTTTTTTTTAAAGTTGCATCATATCACGCTATGTGAATATTTGCCATAGTTTATTCAGCTACTCTGCTATTTGGGTTGTTTCCGTTTGCTATTAAAGTAATACTGTAATTCTTACATTGTTTCATATTCAGGAGGTATATATTCAGGAGGGATTCCTAAAAGTGATTTTCTTTAGTCAAAGGATAAATGTAATTTTGTTAGATACCATCAAATTCTCCTCCATAGGGATTTTTACCATTTTGCATTCTCACTTGTAATGTGTGAGAATGCACAGAATCCTCTTTACTTCCAGTTTCCACGATCTATGTGCAGAATCACTTTTTCCAAAGTTACATGACATTTACATTATGTCTCTGAGGCTAAAATATTATTTTTCTAACTTACTATTTCTGGTTCCAAAGAGGTAATTATAACTTTTTATCTAAAGTGTATATTACAAGTAGAAGATATTCTTCAGTCAATGGCTTGCATTTATAGAGTGTATTATGTTTTTCAAGGCACTTTTATGCACTTGCACCTTGTTTGATCTGCACAGCCATGCTTTGAAGTAGATAGGGCAAGTCTATCAGCTCCATCTTCTAGATGAGGAAACGGAGAAGGAACACAGTTTAATAACTTGTACACACCCAGTTAATGACAGGCAAGGGTCTGTTAGTTAACTGGTATTTCTATTAGATACTAAGTTGTCTCCTTTTTAACTATCAATTCTAGTATTTTATTATATGTTTGTGTCACTTATTAAAGTATTAGGAATACAGACTTATTCATTATACTTCACATATAGTAGAAATATGAAAGCTATTAATAAGTCATGTTCATATTTTAAGCTTATTTTGGAAAATAAAGCTTAATTTATTTGGGTTTAGCTCAAGAATTTTATAAAGTATAAAGTGCTATCCAAGTCTAATAATAAAATTTATTCTGGAAAAATACCCCATATTTTAATTTAAAGTAAGATTCAGTTATGTAAGCATAAGTAACAAGTTGAATATAATGAATTACTTTTGAATATATATACAATTAGTATGAATTTATAAAATCTTAGAAAATCAAATGCAAAGTACCAAAAATGTAATTTCAAGACTGCATTGAAGCTCAAAGGCTTCCTTTGTACTAAACAATGAGTCTTTGCATTTTCTAAAAAAGGCAAGAAAAAAATTCTATTCCAATTATAAAATATTTTGGCCTAAATTTTTAATTAGATTGATTCATCTTTGAGAATGGCAACATATATTTGTCCTATCAAGTGAGCTTCATGAAAACATTAACAGATGTTATAAACTGAGAGTCCTCAAACAAAACCTGTGAAATCAATGAGTGTAAATATAAACTCTGATTTTGGTCTCTTTTTCATAATGTAAACTGTTTTCCATAAAACACAATCTGTACGTTTGTCATTTATTTTTGAAGTTGAAAAATAACAAAAAGACTTTAGACCCACATATAAAAGGTACTCTTTTTATCCTTTTCTGAGACACTGACCTGTATACTCATTTAAAAATGAACACCACATCTTTACGTTATTAAATCTTTGTTTTGATCTATTAGTATTCACCAAAGTGCCATTTTATAAAACCTCACACTGAATAGACAAGGCTGGAGGTGACCATCTGCAGCTTTAGAGTCTGTGTTTGAATTGATGAAAAGAGCTTTGTGTTTTCATTGCCAAGTTTGATTCTTTCAGTCATTAGGCATTCCCCTCAGATCGCATCAATGAAGCCGTACTCTCTTACACCCATGTGTTAAATTCTCTTCTCCTCATGGTTTCCTTTGCCAGCTCTACTCAAGAATGACTATTGGGCCTTAGCCACATTCTTCTCACAGCTGTGTTAAAAAGAGCATCAGAAAGTCTTCTTAAAACCCATATGTGTATCTGGTCAGTTCTCTGTCTTAGGGTCACCCCACATTGTGGTGTGATTATACAGAGATTCATTCTTGTTCTTGAACTGTGCTACTCCCATCATTCTGGGAAAGATTAGGCCCTATAGTCAGTAGAAGAGAACTTCTTGGAAGACTGATGTGAAATACACATAGTTCAGAAGGCAGACTATTTTAAATTAAGGAAGAAGATGTTTCAAGATTTTAAATATGTTTATATGTTATTTTTACCGTTATTTAGCTTGTCAAATGGTAACATAAAGAGAAAGAACATATGCTTTCATTATGCTTTTAGGATACGGTTGTATTTGTGAAGGAAAAAGTCAAATGATGATGATGTTCCAAGAACTATTAGTTTGTATGCTATAAATGCCAGAGCAATTTTAAAAATTAAAATTACTTAAGTTTAGAAAGTTCCAAAATACTATTTACTATTTTTAGTTTTCACTTTTAATTAGTCTTTCTATAGAAACACCTGATGAAGTAATAATCTGTAGTAGCAAAACTATTCTTTTCTTTATACTTAGGTTAAGAACTGAAGGAAAAAAACTGTTTCTGTTGAGTTGTTCAGGAATATATAACAATATAAGAAAGAAATAAGATGGATTTAAGCTATATATGAATGGATTTAATCATTGCTATAGAATGATTTTTTTCTCTTTAAATGTAAATGATCAAGAATGAAGTTTATGTGTGGACATTGTTTATGATTTCACTAGCAGACAGAGTTACCCTGAAATAAACAAGATTCTTTCATTCTATATTTAGAGGGCCAAATGTGCATTTGGGAAAAATCCCTTAGTGGGGGGATACAGTCAAACATGGAATAATGGGGAGAAATAATCAAACATGGAGTCTTAGAATCCAAGTAAAATTTATATTTCTACTTGCTCTTGGGTTCAATTTAGATTTTTCAATTATATTTTGGGAATAAAACCTATATCTAGTAAGGAAGTGTACATCAGATTTTAGGTGAGGATACTGACAATTCATTAAAAAAAACTCAGACCCTGATTTATATAAATATGCAGACATTTTCTGTATCAACAGATAGATATATTATATCCATTCATCTGTGTGTTTAAGAATAGAGAAAGCAAAAGAGGATGTTCCCAGTGAGTTATCAATGAGGTTGAGCAAGATCCAGGCAGGAATGATGAAAACTTCTAAAAATCTAATTTCTACAATAGCTTCCTTTTTTCCTTTACTACAACAGCAGTATTCTAAAGTACACTAGTGGTTAGTGTTATTGTTACCTTTCCTAGGAAGTTCAAATCACTTTATATATCTCATTTTTATCAGTTCTAAAAGTATTCTCAGGTAAGATAGTTCTCCTATCTTCACAGAAGTACCCTGGAAGCAAGGTTTAAATGGTTAAGAAGGCTTTTAACTGGAGCTAAGAACAGAATCAAGGAAAAGGGTACTGGTTAGAGCATATGACCACTCTAAGGAACTTACATTTCATACACATGTGTGAAAATCACATTAGAATATCTCTGTGGTATAAGAACTCCTGTTGTATTTTTTTCAGCCTGTCAAGTTTCAGTTAAAGTGTACTTGATCATCGTATAATTTCCCTAAAATAATAGGAATTCTTATCTCTGACTTTCAACTACTGTAACACTGGGACTAATGAAAAACAACAAAAATTCCTGCATTTTATTTAGTCTTAAACCAAAACTGTATGACTCTCTCTCTTATTTAACCCTTTTGCTCTTTTTCTCTCATTCTTCTCCATAGTGATCATCTGAAACATGTTTTATCTATCTTAGTAGGCTGAAATGTGTACTAGCCCAACTCTAGATCACCTATTGGAAGAAAGATTCTGAAATGAAGAAGCAAATCAAATGTAAGAAGCCATGTTGTAATTTAACTTTTTAGTCCCCACTTTCATGCTTTTTATGATTCACTCCATAAAGTTAACTATAAAAGGGAACTAATCAGGGACAGTGCAGATACTTAGGTTTAGAGAATCCCTTTTCTTCTTTAGCCTGGATCCTTCACTTTCCACTTCATTGGAATTTCTCAATTTTAATAATCCCACATTAATTCTTCCCTGGTAGAAAGAAATGAGCTAGACAATTAAAACTATGTTTTTTTTTCATGTCAAAGTGAGACATTCCTTGAAGCTCAAGGTATAAGCCTCAATTCTTTAGTTTTTATAAAGAAATGAATATAATTATATCACCTATCAAACATGGTAGGTATCTCTGTATATAATAAAAGCAGCTCTAAGAAAACCTACTTTATGTACTCAATGGATAAGAAAGGTGATCCACTATACAAATATATAATGGAATTAAATTTTTAATAAAATACATACTTGTTTGATAGAGTACAAGACTTGTATTTCATAAGTTAAATATGTATTTATTTAAAAACATGTGTTATGATTAAAAACCCAGAACATTAAATTCTTAAAAAACATATCATGTTCAAGAATAAAAATTAAGCATGCTAGATGCTTTACATTTTACGACAATTGTTTAGGAGGAATCTGAGTCCATCTTCCATATATAAATGACAATAAAGCTGTATCTAATTAGATCTAGATTTAGAAGGTGCCTTCCAAAGCTGACTGGGGTGTTCAACTGTACATAAACTAGCACAAATAAATTAACTATTTGATTTATTATTTGCTGAGGTATGTATCATATTTCACAGAGCTTTTTGAATCTCAAACATAAAAAAGATTGAAGAAATTTCCAGAAAAATTTAAAATCCTCTCATTTACTACTAATACTAATAAATCCAAGTCAACTTTCAACATTATATTAAATATTGATTTAAACCTTGTGCTGAGAATTTATGAAATGCATTCCTTGATTCAATCAACAAGTATTTACAAAGTGTTCCGATACATCTAGTACTGCTTTGCAACTTGTAGTCCAACCAAGAATTTAGAGGAAAAATATCAAGATAAAGTTGGCAAGAAGCAGAACAATTTTAATGAAAACATAATGTAATTATATAAAAAATTCACTGATGCTTTTCATATTAAACTATGTAAGACTATTTTAGCACAATTATTTTACTAATTATTAACCATTATGGTTAATATCAGATTCTGGAAATAGCAACAAAACTACAAAGTTTAGTAAAGTCTTTTGATGAAAAATGTAGGCTTTAAAAAAAAAAAAGAATAGCAGGCTTTTTTTTTTTTTTTTTAAGTCAAGAAACTGTGGAAATGCTCTGTTCCCCTTCCCAGCACCCAGAGTCGTCTACCCTGTTTTATAATTCAACCTGCAAACAGATTAAGCAGCTGAGTTTGTGGAAAGTATGTTTGCTCTACACTAAGGACCCTTGTGTGACACTATGGCGACTCCCCTGATACCTCGAAGAGAACTACAGACAGTTTTCACTCATCAGCAGGGAAACCAGGCTGAGAATTCACGATTTCTTTGTAACCTCAACTTCTTCATAGAAATCAGTATTTGGCCAACAGGCAGGAAAGACTTTTTATTAGCTTTACATGTTCTTTTCTTTTCTTTTCTTTCTGTCAATACCACTCAAAAGACACAGGATGCCGTATATTTCAAAAGGCAGTGTTTTATGCTGATCTTTGAAATTTTAATTATGCGATTAAAAATTAGAATGCGTGCAAATGTTAAGTAACTGATTTTTTTTAAAGCATAGAAAGAAAATTCTAAATAGTTGATGAATTTTTTTCTTGAAAATTTGTTAAAAGTTTACAATTTTTTCTTACATCTTTTAGTCCAATCTATTTATTATATAGTTATATTTTATGACGAAACTTGAACAGTATCAGTGTAAATCTGGCCCACGGTTAAGATGATATGTGATAAAAGTTATTTCATTGTAAAACCTAGATCTTTGAGAGGTCTTCTAACCATGTACGTCTGGTTGTAAATACTTTTATTTTAAGTAACTATGTGTAGCTTAAACATGTTAAATTTAGTAAAATACATTAAAAAATTCCTTTGGGAAACTTGCTCTAGGCCAGAAGCATGTCTGTAGATGGAAAGACACATGGAAAATTATAGCACAAAGAATCAGATTTCATAACCTCTTATGATAAAAAGCATCATTTAGTGGATTGGTGTGTCAGTTTTCTCTTTAATAAATGAGGATTATGGATGGTCTGGGCAAAACTATTAAAAGAAGTTTTTCTCACAAAGTTCTCGTGCTCTTAACCTGCTCATTGGCCTCCACATAACTCTCTGAAACCAAGTGCATCCAGAATCGGCAAAAGAGTAATCTGAAAAGCTAAATCACTATGTGCTCTTCTTCCACAAACATACACATTTTTAAAAGAGATGTACCTAAGGAGAGTAATGCTTAACGTGACGGAATGGATTTCCATTGGTGAAATTTTAGGCTTTATGATACCTGGGCCAAGAAGCTATTTTGGGGCAGTGAGGTCTGGCATTTACCACATTTTACTTTATAAGTGACTATCTGCTATAAACATTGGCTTGTTTATGGATGGTAATTCTGTACAACTTTCCAAATATACTCCTATAGGTTAAAAAATTCAAGAAAAATGTTAGACTCTCAAAGAAATAAAATATAAATTTAAAATTCTACACTTATTAGAAATAGTATATGATCTCTCTGTCCTATTACTGAAGATTTCAGGTCTTTTAAATGTAATTAAACTTGATGGAAGTTGGTGGTTAGAACAAGGGTTAAAAGCTGATCACTAACAAGTAAGAGATCCCAACTCTGAGGAGAGTGGAAGGAGTGGTGATGCCAGTGCCGTACTCTTCTATGAAACTTGTGAGCTCTAGGTACTTGGCTGGGATAAAAAACTTTATCTAGGGCTTAAAGCACATCAGAGCACACCTGAAGTTTTACTGTGTATTCCTGACCTGATCTGCTTTTATTTTATTCTGTCATTCTATTGAACTATTAAGTTGTTCTAGTTCAGATGTTCATAAGCATTTATGGAGCACCCACTTTACAGCAGGCATCTGTGCAAGTATTTGGAGGCAACGGGGATGCAAAGAGGAGTAGAACACTGTCTATGGCTTGGAAAAGTTCGATGAGTAATTTTACAGGGATTAGAGTAGATATACAAAGCAATTATAACATCTAGATGATTGAGACCTCTAATAAAGGTATGGACTAAGTATTATGAAAGAATTAAAGAATGAAAAAATAAAGAAGCATCACAGGGGTAACATTTAGACTGGAATTTAAGGACTAACAAAAATCTGGCCAGGGGCTTCCCTCGTGGCGCAGTGGTTAAGAATCCACCTGCCAATGCAGGGGACACGGGTTCGAGCCCTGGTCTGGGAAGATCCCACATGCTACGGAGCAACTAAGCCCGTGTGCCACAACTACTGAGCCTGCTCTCTAGAGCCCACGAGCCACAACTACTGAGCCCATGTGCCTAGAATCCGTGCTCCACAACGAGAGAAGCCACCGCAATGGGAAGCCCGCGCACCGCAACGAAGAATAGCCCCGGATCACTGCAACTAGAGAAAGCCCGCGAGCAGCAACAAAGACCCAACATAGCCAAAAATAAATAAATAAATAAATTTATTAAAAAAAAAAAAAAAAAAATCTGGCCAGGTACTAAAAGGGAGGAATATGTTCTAAGAAGAAGAAATAGCATGTGCAGAGATATTGTGGTAGGGGGCATGTGAGGAGATACCACTAGAACACGTATTATCTCATCTAATTCTTACAACGTATTATCTCATCTAATTCTTACAACATTATGAAGTAGGTGTATTACTGTCCACATACTATTGCCCACATCAAGGCAGTGTTTTAAAATGTCCTAGTTCACATAGCTATGCATTCTGAATCCAGAGCCTGAGCTTTTAAATTACCATGTTGAAGATATATGAGCATCTTTACTTATCTTACCATGCTCATATATAAATTTTATGATAAAGTATAATTAGGAATGGGCCATTGAATTCAATAATTAGGAAATTACTGGTAATCTTAAGAAGAACAATTTAGTATAAGAGCTAGCCATAGTGTATTGAGTAGTAGAAGAGCAAATGGGAATTGAAAAACTAGAGGTAGTGAATACAGATCAGTTATTTAAGGAATTTGGTTGTGAAGGGTAAAGGGGAAATGTGGACCTTTTAAATTTAAATTTTAATTATTGCCTGGAAAACTGACATATTTTCAAAGGACCTTCAAAAATATTTGCTAGTAATAGTGATTTCAGATTATATGGAGAATACTAATACCTAACAGAATACCAATACCTGTTAATATCTAACAAAGTCTTATCAGTTGGCTTCCTGGAAGGTTATCATCTTATATCCAACAAAATAGGCTGATGCCCACATTAACTGTAATGAAGATACACTGCACACTTGAGGGCAATTAAAGATGAAATATAGTGGATTAAATATGAAACGGAAAGCCTGATAATATTTCATCTAGGTCTGATTGCTAGAAATCAGAATAAAAGATTTAACATTTAAATTAAAATTTAACATTTAACTCTTGTAAATGACATAATTGTTGCACTTAAACTCTGTCCATGGATTGGTGCCATTTCCATTAAAAAGTCTTGATTTGTCTGTTGTTAAACGTGAAGAATAAGGACAATATAGTTAGTTTTTCAAAAGGTTAAACTTATTTAATTTAAAGCGTTATCTGAGAAATGTTATTTCTACTTCTTGGGGTACAAAGTTATTTCTTTTAAAAATAATAACAATAGCTGATGAGATCTAAAAAATAAAAGTTGACAACATTTCCAAATTTTTTTAGAAATCTAATTGCTCTCTGGGAAACACTGTTTTAGGGAATTTTAGTTATGTATAGAAATTAAAGGATTACAGGTAAAGAAAACTGAAATTTTTAAGTATTTGTATCCTTTAAGCAAATAGAGCTAAATCCAATCTTGACTGTCAAAAGTTACTGATTTGTAATTTACAATGAAATGAGATCTACCTAAATATCTATCTTGGGGTTCTTAGAAAGTTAATATACTTTGTGAATAATCAGATACAGTTTCTGACTGAATATAAACTTAATCTTTAAACCTATAAAATATAACACCATAAATCATAAGTTTCAAGGTACATATACCTTAAAGATTAATTCCTAATCTGTTTTAAAACAGTCTTGACTACGTATTTACCTGATCTTGGGCTAGTAATCAAGATATAATTTCAGGGATGTTGAGGAAATGTTTCAGAAGACTTATTTTCAAACAAAAAGTATTGAGAAGTAAGAAACCTTGAAGTTAGCTCTACTTTTCCATACTGTAAAACTGAAAAAAAAATTGTTAAGGAAGAAGGTATGTCTTAGAAATTGAATTCTATTAGGTGTGTGAATGATGTAATGCTATTAACAATACATAAAAAAGGGCTCAGTTAAAATGACAAGTTCTATTACATTAAAGCTGCTTTAGAATATTCTGCTACAGTGTTCAAGTGCCATAAATTAAGAAGTGACTTCCTTGTCTGATAAGTTATTTGTTAATATTTTGCTATCTATCATTAAGGACTGACTGATTATGCAGCTTTATTTAAATTTTAATAAAAATGCAAAGATTATTGAAAATAAATGTGATCATGTACTGTGAAAAGCTGTATTGAATACTTCAGAAGAACAACACAAGAAAATTAATTTCACTGTACTGGATTCTACGTGCCTAGAGGTCTCAGATTGCAAGGTCATAGATGATTTCAGCTCAAGTAAGATTATTGTGAAGCTAAATGAGTAGAGTTGGTAACTTGACTGTCTCTTCCCCTTGCTAATTACCTATTACCTATGAACTGATTTTAATCGTATGGCCTCCATGAACTCCTGAAGATCAATTATTCAATAAAAATGGTTTGCCCTAAATAGTAACCATGATTCGCAAGTAAATGACTTTTTGACCCCAAATATAGATATGACAGGCCGTCTAAAAAAGTTCATTTGGCTCAATCCACTTTTGTCTTAAACTATTAAGAGCATAAATAATAAATAATATATTATTTAGTTGCCAAAAGAATGTGCTTTTGTTTTGTTTTGTTTCATGCTTTTGAAATAATGCAAGGTCATTTTACTTACTTCTGAACTTTGTCATTGGCTGCTCGGGAGGCCTCGATGGTGTGCTGAAGCTCTAATTCCATGTTTGCTCGATCTGTCAGAGCTTGCTGCAGTTGGGTAGCTAATTCATCATTTTGTTGTTGAGTGATGGAAACAATGTTCTCTCTACTTTTTAAAGCTTCTTCATAGGTATTAAGGGTATGGTTAAACTGATCCTTCAGATTTTCTTCTTGGGATAAAGATTTGTGTAAACTGAGAAAATATAAAAATAAATAATTTAAACATAAATATGTAGGCTGACTGACCAATAATCTATTTAACGAAAATCTCCAGTTAGAAATACCCATTTCTAAAAATCAATAAAGATAACTTAAACGGGTAAATACAAATAATTTTTATATCACAATATTATACTTGATAATTATCCATTTCTCTGCTTCTAGGCTGAAAGCTACCCAGACAAATGATTATCTTTGCTACCAAAGCATACAAAAAGATGCTGCAGGATGTTAATTTAATTGTATCAGTGTAAATATTACATTCAATTTTCTTTAAAAGGAATAGCAAAGAATTGGAGAATAAAGTATCTCTAGGTAAATAAAAGAATATAATAAGCTGACTGCAAAGGAGTGAGAAGTAAGAGAATGGGCATCAGTTTAGGAGATCCAGGGTCTATTCGGCTGAACACGTAATGAGAATGAATGAGATCTGTGCAAATACTGATCAGCCTTATACACAGCATTTTCTACTTGTCACAATTGAGATATAAATGAAGTTAAAATCACAAGTCAACCTGCACAGAAATAATATGTATTCAGATATATTTTCTTTTTGTTAATGAATCTTATGCCAAACACATCCACTCATTAAGTCATACAGAGAAACAGCATATAAATTAAGACTAAATTAATGCAGAAGAAAATGCAGACAAATAGAATCTTAAAATGCTAAAGGTCAGATCTTTGATATGTCATTACACCTACCACCTGAGGTTATTTTGAAATGGCACCAAGCACCTCACTCAATTAAATAAAGACATTTTGAAAATATAAATATTTAATAATGGGAAATTTAAAATCCACACAGGAGATGTTCTTTTTTTATTAAATAAGATCATTTCAGTATATGCATACAAAAGAAATGTCGATGGGAGACTTGAAGTAAAACACCCTAACTATATAATACAGATTGATAATGTTGAAAGAAAGTAATATAATTCTTAAAGCTGTAGAAAGCTGGTCAGGGAACTTTAACTCTGGCTGAGTATCTAGTCTGGTACTTTATCTAAAACTTTTCAAACTGAAGTAATTATAAATTTCTTCTTTTTGCTTAAATAGCCTATAAGCCTCTCCAGGGTGCTCACTTTGGACAAGGTGTCACACAGAAATAAGATGGACTTGAGACAAGGATAGTTAGCATACCAAAAGAAATCATGTCAGAATTCAGTTTAGTCCCTAAGAAGAGAGATGCTGCTAAACTGTGGTCAAGTGATTACTATATATGAAATAAGAATGGTGTATACTGCCAGATTTGCAGAGTGCAAAGAAAGTATCTTCCTTCATGGTTTTCATCTTGTTATGTATCTAACCCTTACTTCATTCTTCTTGGTTCTTTCTACCAATCCATATGCTTAAAGACTCCTGTCTCCTGCTCATTTTCCTAATGCTTTCTCTGTTCTCTCATACTTTCTGCATTGTTCCAACTTCCATTTTCTTTCAATCTACTCTCTTTGTTTACTTGAAACACCCAAGAAAGAAAGAAACTAAAAACAAACAAAACAAAAAAACCTTTAAAAAGTCTATGCTCTTTACCTTTAAATATCAATTTCATTTTTTTTTCTTTAATTTTTTGCTGTGTCACACAGCATGTGGGAACTTAGTTCCCCGACCAGGGATCGAACCTGCGTCCCCCCGCACTGGAAGGCCGGAGTCTTAACCACTGGACCGCCAGAGAAGTCCCTAATTACATTTTAAATTACATAATTTGCACAAATCCAAAGTACTCAGCTTGACAAAATGTAAAGAATAAAATACAGAACAAATGCAGAACACTCCAGTCCTCCCAGTTGATCCCCTTTCCAAAGGTAATCACTAGTCCAACCTCTATCAAGATTAATATTGCCTGTTTTTGAACTTTCTGTCTGACTTAATATTTTGCTTAACATAAAGTTTCTGAGATTCATCCTGTTGTTGTATTTTATTCTATGAAGTATTCCATTACATAAATACATAGCAATTTATTTAACCATTCCACTGTTGCTGCTATGAATAATTCCTGTATGTGTCTTTTGATGGACCTAAGTACCCATTTCTTTTTGGCTTGTTTTTGTTTTTTTTCCCCAGCTTTATTGAGATATAACTGACATTTGGACATGACATATAACTGCTCATTTCTGGAGCAGAATTCCTCCATAGGGTGTGTATATGTTCAGATTTAGTAGATACTGCAAAGTTTCCCAAAGCGGTCATACCAATTTATTCTCACATCAGCAAGAGTTCCAGTTGCTCTATATGCACCCGTAGAGTGGGATTGCGAGTCCTCTTAACTTCAGCCATTTTAATGGGGGTGCAGTGACATTTCATTCTCTTAATGTTGTCTTTTGATGAATGTAAATTCTTAACTTTAATGAAATCTAATTTATTATTATTCCATTAATGGCAGTGCTTTTTTGTGTCCAGTTAAAAAAATCATAGCCTGCCCTATTCTTTATATTTTTAATCTTAAATATATGCTCCTCATTTATTATTTATTTATTTAAAAAGGGATTTTTATTTATTTTTGGCTGCACTGGGTCTTCGTTGCTGCACGTGGGCTTTCTCTAGCTGCGGCGAGCAGGGGCTACTCTTCATTGCAGTGTGTGGGCTTCAGTAGTTGTGGCACGTGGGCTCAGTAGTTGTGGCTCGTGGGCTCCAGAGCGCAGGCTCAGCAGTTGTGGTGCACGGGCTTAGTTGCTCTGTGGCAGGTGGGATCTCTGGACCAGAGCTTGAACCTGTGTCCCCTGCATTGGCAGGCGGATTCTTAACCACTGTGCCACCAGGGAAGTCCTATGCTCTTCATTTAAAACTTGAAGTAGATCAGCATAGTTCGGGAATTCTGCATTTGTTTGTGATACCTACAACACTATCTAGTATATTATAACCAATTAAATATTAAGAATCAATGACTCAATTTTTAAAATCACACCATTATTAAAATCAATATTATCCCCATTTAATCACCTAATCATTCATCATTTACTAGTTTTCTACCATTTAATTTAGTCTTTTCCTTTTTTTGGCAAATTTATACCACCTGACTTTAATTTTTCTCTCAGATGGACCTGTAACTGGGACCCTTTATTCTCAAGCTCAAAAAGTTATTATTCATTCAAAATACCTTGGAAACCTTTAAATCCCCATCAAGTCTTTCTCAAACTGAAGCAGTAGCTGGAGTGATCTCTTAAAAAGGTAAATTAGATAATGTCACTCAAAATTCTGCAGTAGCACCTCATCAAACTCGGAATAAATCTCTGAAGATAACAAATTACATATTTTAACTCACTAAACCTCACAACAACTTAGGAAGGGAGTCCTATTAATATTACTTTTTTACTAATGAAAAAACTGAAACAAAGAGGTAAGTAATTTAATTAATCTCATACCCCTACCCTAGCAGAGCCAGAACCTGGACACACATCATAGCCTCCTTCCTGGGCTGGAATCCTCCCCTACTTGCCATGGGCTACAAAGCCCTCTATCATCTGGTCTCTCTACCTACCACCTTTTAGCAGACATTCCATTTCTCAGGTACAGCAAGCTTTTCCTGCTTGAAGCATTTCTTTGAAATGCCTTTCCCTCCACGCTTCTATGTGACCGACTCCTACTCATTCACTAGGTCTCAGCATAAATACTACTTTCTCAGATAAACCTTTTATGTCTCTTCAGTCTAAATTTTGATGTTCCCTCCTTGTTATTCTGTCTCATAGAACCTCTTTTCCTTCTTAGAACTTACAATACTTCGTAGTTTTTTTCAGTTTCATCATGTGATTTACTTCCTAATTCCAACATATTAAATTGCATAGGGCAATTTTATTTATGGGAAGAATGCATTCATAAGTTTAATAAATTAAAATGTTCATAATTTAGGGAAATTTTCTTATAGGAATAAAAGTGAAGTAGAGAGGATATATTCCCAGCATGTATATAAATCTATAACCACTGAAGTGCATTTTTGTTTTAGTGATGCTTTTTCCCTCAGAAAGCTCTTCCCTAAATTGACAAGAGGGCCACATTGTTTAGCTTTCTTCAGAGTCATATCACATTTAACCTCTGTTCAAAGTTGATTGAGATGCATTGATTTTCAGATGCATTTTTTTGTATAGCAGTGGCATTACAATTTAAAGGCACTTAAATGACATTGTATGGGAAAATATTTTAAGTTATAGTAAGAATAAATTATAAAACAACAGAAAAGCTGTTAAATCACTCTCAGAAACAGTGTGGCTCATACAATACTAACATAGGATGGTAACCATCCCTATTTATCATGAAGATAATGAAGTAATATAAAAAATTCAATTAACTCTTCCAGTTTTGAAATTATATAATTCTTAATGAATTAATTTTTCTAATTTAGTATAGAAAGTGAGACTTTAGAAGTATTTTTACTTAGTAGTCTTTCATATAATCATAATTCGAATCCACACCAACTGTGACTATACATTATCTCCTAGGCTGCTCACCACATGAGTCCAACAGCAGGCCAAGGTAGGAGATGCCATTCAATGGGTATTAGACCATTAAGTAGCATGTAATAGATTCCTTTCTGTAGTGGTTTCTGTCTTCATTTCAGTGTCTCCTGGTCTGTTCCCTCATGACTGTGATCCTGACTATTTTCCTGATCTCTAACTCTCTGTACTGCCTCAGCCGAAAATATCTCGGAATTTTCAGGTTTATGACCCACTTTTACATTTTGCTTGTAGATATTTATGTTCCCCTCAACTTGTGTTTACCTGCTTGTTGAACTCTCAACTGTAACGTCAAACGTGGATTCATCTTATTCTTGCAAACTGGTACTTTTCCATCTATACCAAGTTTTGATGCTACTTTTCTTGGCTTCTTGTTTCCGTGATCAACTATTTCTTAAGTCCTTTCATGAGATCACTTTATTCACCATCCCACTATATGCACTTACACTTCTATTTATGCTTCATTTATTTACAGTAATTGCTCAAGCATTCATGTGATCTATATATACTGTTTATTTTAATTGAA